CCCCCCCACCCTGTATTATACTTGCTGGAGTTACGTTTGACCTTTCACCTCGCTCGGCGGTATTTGCTGGGATTTGGGCAGATTTACAGGCACGTCGTTATAATTACATTTCTTGGCAACAAAATGTAAATTCCGAGTGCTGGAAATTAGACGCGGCGCATTGACGGAGGTCAGGGGGGGGGGGGGAGAGGAAATTGATGGAGAAAAAAAACTTTATTTACTCTTTCTGGACGGACGAGGGTTGTTTGGGAAATTGTCATAACGATCGGCTACTTAGCGGAGGTCAAAGGTGGATTCCGACTTCAGACAACATAAAAGTGACAACTTTGTAATGGATGTCGGAGGGAATGTGGAGCCTCGGCAATGATTTCGTAACTGTAAAAGAGAGAGAGCGGCGGCGGCTCGCTGTATATCGTGTTATCTGCGTGTTCAGGTTTCAAATAACATTTTCTAATTATATCTGTACATTGACGGCGGCCATATTTGCTCCGTACATCCTCCATGTTTCCTGCTCTGCAGCACTACCCAGTACTTGTTCTTTACTGCTCCTTCTCATAATGCAAAGTCTATGGGACAGCCGAGCTGCTGAAAGCAATGCCCTGCCCGTGTGCGAGGGGTGCCACATGTTCTAACTTCCACCCGGTGATCATTGCCATTGCAAAGTGATCAACTGAAAAGGAAACCAACACATCGGGATCTGTTTATAACCAAATTGCAGAGCCGATCTCCCTACAGGCCTTTCTGAACATTCGATCTGTGCGTATCGAGGCAAAACCGAACGTTCTTACATATACTTTCTTTTCAGGTCGAATGTAGGCTATGCAATTCCGCATTTTGGCCACTAGATGGCGCTGAGGAATATAGAACATGAGATTTCATTTCTTCAGCTGCATCTCCAGCTTGTCCCCCTTTGCTTCTGCGCAGGATCTTCCTGTAATAAAGACCGGTCACTGCTGCTCTCTCTCCTTGTGCAGGGTGACCGGTCTTGTCTCCGCCCCCTCCTGTAATAAAGACCGCTCGCTGCTCTCTCTCCTTGTGCAGGGTGACCGGTCTTGTCTCCGCCCCCTCCTGTAATAAAGACCGGTCACTGCTGCTCTCTCTCCTTGTGCAGGGTGACCGGTCTTGTCTCCGCCCCCTCCTGTAATAAAGACCGGTCACGGCTGATCTCTCCCCTTGTGCAGGGTGACTGGTCTTGTCTCCGCCCCCTCCTGTAATAAAGACCGGTCACGGCTGCTCTCTCTCCTTGTGCAGGGTGACTGGTCTTGTCTCCGCTTCCTCCTGTAATAAAGACCGGTCACGGCTGCTCTTTCCTTGTGTAGGGTGACCGGTCTTGTCTCCGCCCCTTCCTGTAATAAAGACCGGTCACGGCTGCTCTTTCCTTGTGTAGGGTGACCGGTCTTGTCTCCGCCCCCTCAGGTAGTTTTCTGCAGGCCATCTGTAGTGGGTGGAGCCTGCCTGGCCCCTTTCACAGCTCCAATCACCTTCAGACTGGAGAGCATTCCAGCAAAGCACCCCTGCCCCCTTTTCCTTCGCTCCCTGCGCAGGCTATATACAGCTCAGTGGTGTTGTCACACAACGTGGATGTGTATCTTCTGTGGCTGTGGAATGTATTTAAATTTGTTTTTTGTACCCTAAGTTCAGCTTTAAGGGTGACAACGCCGCTTTGTGATTTCAATGTAGAAAGAACAGCGGTGTCACCCTGTTGGAGAACACAAACAAATAACAGATCTATTGGCGGGATCCACAGGTAATACAACTGTGTTATGGGGGAAGTCTGAGAAACAAAAACTGCTGTGCCAATGGCAGTGACAGACTATACGTCAATCATGCTCCCCCCCGAGTTCTGCTTTAGGATTGGAAGATCAGTGAATCATCACGTTGCACATTTGTTCTCAGGAATCACGCGGCTTCGTCTTATATTCAAGTCGTTTATATAATTTTTTTTTTTTTTCGATGTATAAACAATAAATGAATTTCTTTTATTAATGTCCATGATTTGTAATAACAACAACAACAGATATGACACAATGAGGCTGTACAAGTAATTGGTCCCACGCGGGCGGATTTCACGGCACAGATCTGCCGATAAAGTGCGTTGTGTTTGGGTCAGACGGCGGCGACGCAGCTTCCTACGGAATGGACACAAAAATTAATTCCGACTTCTGTGATAAGAGATCCATCGTTATCCTTCTTCGTGTCATCTTCCTTCCTTCGTATGGGAAAGGTCAAAGCCAATGAGAGCATCAAACCAAATCAGCCTGGGGTTAGTGATCCTCACAGGGGCGCGACCAACATTGGACTGCAGCCCAAACAATACGATATGTGCACACAAGGTATTGCCAAAGTCTTCCGGATAAATACAATGTTGTTGTAACTTTATCCAGAAGACTTGGCAGACGATATCTAATGTGAATGTATAATACTGCGTGGGTTAAAATTCACAGCACTCCAATGTAGAGGGGCGTCATTAGGAATTATACAGCCTGCCTGGCAGCCCCCCTCCCCAGGCAACCCAGAGGAGAAGAATGAGAGCTAACAATGGAAGGGGCTTAAAATGTGTACCATGTACAGAGTGCAGGGGTCATATGAATGTACATACATACTGAAGAGGTCAGCAGTATGAAACATACAGTGCAGGGGTCAGGAATATGAAAAGTACAGAGTGCAGGGGTTGGGACTATCCACAGTACAGAGTGCAGGGATCAGGATGCAAAGTACATAGTGTAGGGGTCAGGATCAGGGAATGCACAGAGCACAGGGGTCAGGAGTATTAAGGTACAGAGTGCAGGGGTCAGGAGTATTAAGGTACAGGGTGCAGGGGTCAGGAGTATGTAAGGTACAGAGTGCAGGGGTCAGGAGTATGTGAAGCACTGAGCATAGGGGTCGTAATTATGCAATGTACAAGGGTCAGGAGGAAGTAAGATACAGAGTGCAGGGGTCAGGAGTGGGTAACGTAGAGTGCAGGGGTCAGGAGTGGGTAACGTAGGGTGCAGGAGTTGTGATTATTCAAAGTACAGAGTGCATGAGCTTGCAAAGTACGAGTGCAGGGGTTGGGATTATGCACAGTACAGAGTGCAGAGGTCAGGGGTATGCAAAGTACAGAGTGCAAGTGTCAGAAGTATGCAGTGTACATATTGCAAGGGTCAGGAGTATGTAAGGTACTGAGTGCAGGGGTCAGGAGTATGCAAAGTACATAGTGCAGGGGTCAGGAGTATGCAATATACAGAGTGCATGGGGGGTCAGGAGTATGCAAAGTACAGAAGGGTCAGGAGTGGGTAACGTACAAAGTGCAGATGTCAGGTGTATGCAAAGTTCACAAAGTGCTGGTGTCAGGGGTATGCGAACATGCAGGGGTCCGGTGTGTGTATTGTACATATTATATCCCTATATTCCTGGTATGGTGCAGATTATGCCTAATTCTACCAGAAATCCAGGTCCCCCCAATCTATAACCCAGTACCCCCTTAGTCCCTCCACCCATCTAACTATGTACCCGGCACATGCCAAATAAAACCCAGCAACCACAAAATCACATCAGTTGTGGACAGCCGCCCCATCACCATAGAAATCTTTGCACTGCTGGCTGAGAGCGAGTGGGATGGACACCCAGAGGGGACAATCAGCACTCCACTGCCAGATACATATGAATCTATGAAGGGAGTTCTGATGAAGGTAAACTATGTGGGTTCCTGCAGACAGCCCTTGCCTGACCCCTGCTGACCTGATGAGGGCCAGTGCAGGGGGGCTGCCTGTAACCCCTCCCCCTTCATTTGCAGCCCTGGCTATGTAGCACCCGCGTGAGGATCACAGAAATGGGCTGATTTTATGGCTCATACATAGCTCGATGTCCACCGGCGGACAAAAGTTAATTGTGAAGGGATGGTGATGGCTGGTCAGAAAGTGTCCACTCCGGAGAGAGGCTCAAGAGCAGAAATGCAGATTTATAAAAGCAACTTTTCAATGACATGTTTCTGACCCCCC